TGCTATTTGGAGAAATCTATTTAAAATCACTGCTAATAAAAGTTATCTACCTCTAAATTGTAACATTCCAGGGTAGATAAGTTTATTTATTTTGTAATTTGCATCATTAGTAGTTATACGATGTCCACAAATCCTTATTTAACGCACAAACATGTCCAGATTTCCTCTGCAGCACACACATACAAGCATGTCATCATATTTTAATGTACCAGTAGTCTTATTTGCGGGGAAACTTTTTATATATAAATATGGGTGAGATGAGATCCATCTGAACGACTGTCTTATCATTGCCTCCCCACACCTTCGAGGAGAAATGGGCTTGTGCATGCTCTCGCACAAGCTCTCGCATTTAATACGTGTTCCCTTTCAGGGGTGGGTACAGGGTTGTGTATGTTCTTTTTTTGTTTTGTTTTTTTGTTTTTTGTTTTTAAGTGGAGAGAGTGGGTTTTATAAAAAAAAAAGCTAAAATCCTCCACTATACCTTTAATTTAACATGTTTACATGATAATAGGTACGTTTATTTTAAGCAATAAGTTAAATACAAAGAGGGGTAATTATGTAACAGAAGCTTTGACCTCAATATATATGAATATGTCCCAATTACAATCAGCTTTTAGAATCATAACTAAAAATAAATCAGTTCAAACTCAAGTTATAGAAAATAAGTTTTTCAGTACTAATAATCTACAAAATTCTGTGAGTAAAATAGTTAAATGACTGACCTTCTGCCAAGCATGATAATGCCGCCTGTCTTCGGATTTATTTTACAATAATCTCCATGGGCCCACACACCTAGAGCAGAAACAGGGCAAAAATTTTACTTTTTTCCATCTAGATTCAAAAAATGCAAACTGACTATCTGACGCTGCATTTTGGTTTGTATTTGTTCTTTGCTAGTTTATTGCGTATTTACCGGGAAACGTAGAGAAGTAAGCTTTGTGATATTTGCTCCCATTCTCATCATTCCAGAAGCGAGTTGGTTGGCAGGGGATCGGCTTCAGGCAGACAAGCTCTCCGCTCTCCCCCCAAACCGGCTTACCTGGTCATCACCAAGCACACAATTACATTTTTAAGAACTAACAACATTTTAAAAGATGCACTATTGCATGAGCCAAATGTAAAATTAAATGAACACCAATGAACATTTCTCCAGAGCTACAGAATATACTAAACACTTTCAAAGAACACTGTGTGATTCTACACAGCCCTAGCCTCCCACAGGAAAGTGTTAAAGCCTTAAATACTGACTAAAATAATCCCAGGCTGAACTGCCTTCAAATGGTCCCTCAGTCCACTTTCCTTTGAGGTGGCAGAAACAGCCTGCAGAAGGGAGCAGGGGAATGATGGGCTAAAAATCAATGGAAAAATATATAAAGGGCTTTAAAAACTCTCAACAAACTAATAGTATCAAAAAAGCATCACTTTTTTTAGCATTGCTATTAGAAATACAGTTTCCCAGTTGTTTGTACTATTGTGGCAGAAAGTTTATTTCAAACTGATTATTTTATCTCTACTAATCAACTCTCACATTTTTTTTAATCCTCAGCATAAGCACATCATTTCTTCCCACAATAAACCCAGAATCACTTGGTTTCATCATGGGCCCCAGAAGCTGATTAAAAATTCAAGGGCATATCAGCTTTGGTAATAAATGTGTTTATAGTTCATTTTGATCATAATTGCAGCCTTCCTACGATTTAATAGCTCATAAACGGAGACTAAAGAGTAAAGATAGGGTAGAGAAAAAAAGATTAAAAACCCTGAGAGATTCTCCAAAACAAAACACCCCGTCTCCCACATTGTCTTACCCTCAGTACTCCACGCTTCTATAGCCATGCCGAGGTTTCTGGACTGGATCTCCCCGCGATACACTGGAACTGTTGGATTTTGCCCCATGAAACACGAAACTATATCAGTGCCACCTGGGGATTTAGTGGAGATAGAGAAGCAAAGTTAGACAAGATGTTAATAAAGAGCAAACAAAAAGCAACTTTTAAACAGAGCGTGCACATGGAGAAATTGGCTCCTGCATGCTCTCACACGTGTTGGTGTCCCCTCTCGGGAGCGGGTAAAGGTTTTGCATGTGCATTTTTTTTCTCCACTAGGGGTATAAATAATTGTTTTGTATCGATGCATCGATCTAACAGCCGACGATCCGATGCATCGATACGTCCGCAAGAGAATCGATTAATGTTTTTGTTTTTTTCCTCCGGTCTATTTTATCCATTTGCTCCTGGATGTAATTCTCCCTCCTGTGCTGCGGTGGCGCTAAACCTATTTTGCCCTCCTACCTCGCTTCCTGGTTATACTCTTACAGCAGTGTGTTGCAGCAAGCTTGACACAGACCTTTCTAAATTATGCTCAGTATGGTCTCCGTGGTCT